GCTCTGATTGGTTTTTCGCATCTCGCTATAGGAACAAAGAGCCATGGCGCCAAGCGTGGCCGTCGTCCGGGGCCCACCACGACCGCGCCACTGCCGCCGTCGCCGACCTCCCTCCCATCAGCCCGTCGACGACCGCCACCGCCGCCCGCCACGACCGCGCCTCCCTCCCGTCAGCCCGTCGATGACCGCAACCGTCGCCTGCCACGACCGCTCGTGGATCTCTACGCCGCCGGCCATCGCCCCAGTGGCGGATCTCGAGCGGAGGTGGCGTCGTCGACGGGTTGACAGAGAGGCAGCGACCGGTGCCGCCAGGGAGCTCGTCGCCGTGCCGCCCAAGGAGCTCCTCGACCGCCGCCCTTCTAGGCTTCCCCACCCGGTGCGCCGGCGCCGGTGAGTGTGAGGACAGATGGCGGTAGGTGGGGAGAGGAGAGAAATCGGCGGTAGGTGGGGACTGGGGAGAGATTATATATTATTATGTAGATTTTAGGGTGTTGAGTGTAAAATTTTGTACTACTGTAAATTTAAAGGTAATAGGGACTGAAATGCAAATATCTACTCTTAGGTCACACAGCAAGCTGCTTGCACCATGGAAAGTGTGGTTCTGAATTGCTTCATCCTATTTGGCAATATGAGGTTTCTCATTGACGTAGCTTTGCATTGCTACTGCCCTTATATATAATATAGTAGTGTATATTTTTTACCAGTTTCATTTGACTGTCCTTGTTATTTTATATGGTGGCTCCTTCTCCCACGTGTAAGATTTCACCGTTTGTCACCTCTACCCGTAGGATTAACCCATGTCACCTTGTCCATCGGTAAACAAAATGACGCCCTGGCTGCATTGATCTGTTGAAGCGAAGCTGCGAAAGTAGGTGTTCCATTTTCCATGTAATGATTTAAGACGATCTATAAATGGCAGATCGCCCAACAATTATTGTAAATTAGAAAATGTCTTAAACAATTTGCATGGTCATAAAGTGGGATGAAATGGATCCACCAATATACCTTGTTAAGCGATATTGCAGCTGGTTCTAGCATTTTTTTTCCTGTTTCCCAAAGAAAGGCCTGTGTCCTGTTTCCCGTTGAGAGCACACTGGAGAGCCGGAGAAGATGGAACAGATTGCCACCCACCTGAGAGGGCCCATCGTGTCATGGGCCGTGGATTCGAGGTCTTCCTTGACGGCCCATATATTCGAGAAAATTGACATTTTACCATCATCGGGTTGGGGTTTCGCCAGAATGCCATCACCGAATGTGGCTTCGCTAAAATACCATCCTCAAACAGACGCAACATGTTGCAATGTTATTTCATCCATCTCTTCTCAGTTTAATGATTTTTTTCTTGCTAAGATGACCAAAATACCCTTGGTTCCCATTGCATCTCTCTGTACCTATTCCTCTCTTCGTTGCAGATGGTGGGCGGCGTCGGCGCAGCTCGGGACCGTTGCCGAACCGCTACAGGATGAGGAAGCTGGCCACACCGGAAATGGCGCCGACCCCGCCCTTCGCCAGCCCGCCATACGCCGCCTTCCCCCACCCGAAGTTGAGGTCACCGAACCTGGCCTTCACCACGTCGAACCATCGTGAAGTTTCGGCCGACCGCGCTTCACCATGAGGTCGACCACCAACCGCATGTACTCCATGTTCACCTTGCCCTTCGCCGCATTCACCAGCTCGACAACATAGCTCACCAGGTTCACCCGCAGGTTGTCGGCGGTGGCGACAGCGACCGGGAACAGGGAAGGCGACGCGGCGGCATGGCTGGGGACGGGAAGGCAGCGGTGCAGACGGAGATGACGGTTCGGCTCGGCGGCACGGCGCACCAAGTGCTCGACCGGACCGCGCGCCACGGCGTCACCCCCTTCTCTGATGAGCTCCTCGATGTGGGCAGCGACCTGCTCCACCCGCAGCGTCCAGCCGCTTGAGCAGGCTCTCCAACCTCGCCGGGGAGAGAGATCGACGCCGGTCATGGTGGAGCTTGCTATTCAAGTCGGACTTCAAAATACACCACGGAGTTACGCTGATTTGAGTGGGATTTGTTGGGGGAATTGATGAGGACAAGAGGAACCGATTTTTGCATTCAATTTGGGGCGAGAACAACCGAGGAGGGAGGTCAAGAGAGAACACTGTTGCATGAGTTCACCAGAGAGAGAAGGATGGTGGTGGGCAGAGGTGGAAGACGCTCCTGGCAAGTGGGCCCCATGGCTGAGGTAAGGGCATTTGGGTCAAACCAAATAAGCAAAACAGTGGAAAACATTTGCAAATAATCAAAATCGGTTGAAATGGTAGATTGGTAGTGTGGCAAGATGGAGTCGTTTGAAGATGGCATTATAACGAAGCCACATTCGGCGATGGCATTTTGGCGAAACCCTAACCCGAGAATGGCTAAATATCAATTTTCTCCATATAATCAGCATATATAATGATATAAACACTCACTGTCACACCGTTAGTGTTTTCTTCTCACAATGGACGAGGCACTGGTTGGGTTTACAAAAAACCGGGTTGAAAATACAAACAACTCGGTTTCTCTAGTCAATCAAAAAACAAATTGAATTTTATTTTTTATAACAAGATTTGTTCGGATATCATCTGTTTTTATCAGTTTTATCAACAGTTTCCACGAAATCTAGCCATAGCCGTACGGTTGATTTGAACCGTATGGCTATGGCTAGATTGCCAGACATTGACAATAAGCACAGTTAATAGTTCATAACTGTGATAACCACAACAAACCGTGAAAAATATAGACAAGTTTTATCAAGAAATTAAATTATCTTTCAAAATTTGGAAGGGTTACTTTGCGATTAACATTCCCCTACCCTAACAGTAAACCCAGTTACCATAGTAACTGTGCTTACCGCTAAGGTGGATTGGGATTGGGTGACATAGGGTAGGCATGTCACAAGGTGACATAGGGTGAATCTCAGCCCTATGAAATAAATCCAACGGCTGACATTCATCCACGTCATCACGAGTAAACATTTTACTCGCAGATTTACTCAGGAGTAAAAATTTAACTAGGAGTAAAACTTTTACTCATGATGACGTGGACGAATCTCAGCCGTTGGATTTGTTTCGGAGGGCCAAGATTCACCCCATGTCATCCAATCTGAATCCCTGCTAACATGCGGTAATGGTAAACGGCACACCGTCGGACTAAACATCAAATATGTCAAAAGAGTCCTTAATACTCCCTCCATCCTCTAATATAAGGGATTTTGCTTGTACTGTTTAATCATTCGTCTTATTAAAAAATTAGAATTATTTTTTTGACTTACTTTATTATCCAAAGTATTTTAAGCATAACTTTTTGTTTTTTATATTTGCTTAAATTTTTTAATAAGATAAGTGGTCAAGCAAAATGTTAAAATTCTTTATATTAGGGGACGGATGGAGTCTGTCAAGAGATTTCACTTGTCAAAGCAAGAGGGAGAGTGATAGATTACGACGTAATCATGGGAGCCACTAGCACTAGGAAACTGCTACTATCAGACTAGCATGGGCATAAACGCATTATTGAGCGACTGCATGAAGTAACAGGAACACACGGCCAGATCAGTGGCTGGAGCAACAAATGTTCAAACTAGTCAATGAAACAATCATCACTGCACGGTTGGGGCCAGCTAGTGGAAATGGCACCTATGGGTAGTTCAAGATGCTGATAAGAAGCTGAATGAAAATCTGAAAAGTTATGCTTTCTACCTTTTGACATTCAGTTTATTTCTATGTTTTACATCTATCAATTCTCAGAATTTTGATGAAAATCTGAACTGTTGAAGGAGCTACGGATTTTAAAAGAAGTTACAGCGGCTAAAAGCTCTTTCAAACAAAGCCATTTCACTTCTGAGCGTTTCACTTCTCACAGAGAAAATGGCTCAGTGCGACAGTGCCGGTGGTGGCCTGGTGCCTGGTGGGGAGAGAAGCAGAGGCCTTCGTCTCCCGACAACCAGTAGTGGCCACGAGATCCAGGGAACTTACGCAACTGAGAGTCGAGCGTATCCGAGCACTGATCACACTTAAAAGCTCTCTGGTGGTCAGGTTCATGATCTTGCCAAAACAGGCCTGACTGGTGCTCTGTACTCTGTTTGGCCTAATGTACTCAGAAAAAGCTTTCCAAGCTTTAAGATTGCAGCGAAGTTAAACCTGACAGAAATACCTCGACAGGATCATAGCACGAACGGTTGGAAGAACGGTTGATATCATTCAAAGGGAACTTTTCATAAAAGAGAGACATGCTCACTCTGCAAAATAGTGTGAATTTCAGGCTATTACAATTTACAGACAAGGGGTAGATTTAGAATTCCAGGTTTGTGTGTTGTGGGGAACAGGAAATTTGGGGCAGGCAAACTTCCGTTTGCTCTTGATTCTGAATTTCTGGTAGTTAGTCACGACTCATGTGGCATGGCTTCCAACAAAGGAAAATGAGGCAAATCAATCCAAGAAAGGTATGCTGCCTGAAAATTACAGCTGCTATATATCTTCTGCAAAGAATACTTAGGACAGTGTTTTCAAGTTCAGATGCACAAAAGTCAGATGATAAGTACAGCAATTTTAGCTCCGGAAGAAAAGGGCAAGTGCCAAAAGAGAGGATGCTGCCTTCTAGATCAAGTTAAAATGCTGAGTTTATAAAGCATTGCAAGACATCGGCAGTCCACAACATGAGCTTTAAAAAATGTGGTTACCAAGAAAATAACATGTCAGATGTGAAGAAAATCGGTAAACTGAATACAGATGAAATACAAAAACACAATTTAAGGTTACTTTCAAATCATAAGAATAGTCGAAGAGGTCTTTCCAGTTCCAGACAACACTTCATTACTGAAGGGACAAACCAGGAGTACATGCATAACTACAGAGATCACTTTGATACAATCAGATGCTTTCAAAAGAAATAAATGGACTGAAATGTTGGATTATGAATATACAAGATGTTCAAAAAAGTATCATATCAGGAGCTGAAAATTACTTAAATATTGCTTGTGGTTGGATTCTGTTACTTAAAATGCACAATTGCATCCAGATTTATATTTCTCATCCTGGTAACATGAGCAAGCAATATACCACAGCTAAAACCTGTTACCAAATTCTGTACAACTACTACTAATTTTTCTCTAACCAGTTAATATCATGCACACATTCAGCAGCACAAACACCGAGCAAGATAATTCAGCTAAAATTTCCCAATTATACCAATCATCCTAAACACAGTTTTGGAGGAAACTACAACAAAAGCTGCAAAATGATTTCTCCTAACTATTTCCTCCCAGGTTCTATCACAACGCCACACATTCCCCCAAATACTCCCAAAAAAACTACCCTCACCTCCAAGCAGACACAGTAAGCAATGGCCGTTTCTCCCATGCCAAGGACAAGAACGCCGGTGGCAACTCAACAAGTGAATACTTGTACTTGGAATCATAGTTCCAGAGCAAAAGATCAGCCTGGCTCCTGGCATAGTTGCTGAGCGGCACGGGCTCGAAGCCGCACCACTCCATCAGGGTCTGCCACTCGCTGCTGCCGGCCATCCTCTCCGTCCGGTCTGCGCCTTCCTCCGGCCCGACGGCCCTCTGAATTCGCTCCCCGAACATCCAACGCTCCACCCTCACCCTCTCCGGTGAGTCCCGGGTCATTGCCACATCCAGCGACTCGAACAATGACCGGTAATAGCTCAACGCATTGGCGAACCGGTCGACGAACCCAGCTCGGTTCAGGCTGACCTCGTACTCTCCAAGTGTGACCACTGCTGGACTGAGCGATTTGGCAAGACGAAGCACTCTTCTCACTAGCTCGTCCGAGTCGCCAAGAAGGTGGTACAGCTGCAGCATGAAATTGACGGCCACGGCCTCGTCAGGTTCAACCAAGAAATCCGACTTGTTGAGCTCGTGCACAGGCCGGAGCAATGGGACGAACTCGAAGTCCACCCCGAGGAGCTTGGCGAAGTCACGGAGACGGGTATTGGTGGCGGCGAGGGACGCCGCGGGCTGCGGCCCCAGGAGCGGCGAGGGGACGCCGGTGATCCGTATCCGCGTTGGCTTCCCCTCGGGCCGGGTGGCGAGCGCCTGAAGCAGCGCCGCCCACTGGATGCCCTGCACGATCCCGAAGTCAACTATGTGGATCTTGGTCGCCGCGCCTGTGGCCTCCAGGATGGCCTGGTTGGCGGTGAGGTGCGCGAACTTGGAGTAGGGGCAGGCGTCGTTGAGCGTCTTGTAGCAGAGCGTGAGCTCGTCGGAGGCGAACCGCGCGTCCGGCTCCGCGGAGGGCGGAGCTCCGGTGCCGCACGCAAGGCGGCGACTAAGCGCGTCAGCGAAGTAGAAGGCCAAGCGCTCAGATGGGTCCCCGGCGTCAGTCGCGGCGGCGCGGACGCTGGCGAGCTCCGCGGCGGCGAGGCCAGGGTCGGTCGCCGCCGCGCGGGAGCAGGACAGGAGGGACTGGAGGATGGGAGCGGAGCAGGAGGCGTCCGCGGAACTCGGACTCGGAGACGAACACGCCACCGGGGTCGCAGCAGCAGGCTGGGGGAGCAAAGCCGGTGCAGCCTCAGGTCGAGGAGCGGCGGTGGCGGCGGTGGCGGTGGCGGTGGCGGCGGCATGCGTGGGGGGTGGGGACGGCACGGGCGGCGGCGGGGTGGTGAAGATGAGGCGTTCCAGGTCGGAGTCCTGGAAGGGGGCGTCCCCAATAAGGCTCTCCATCCACCCATCAGAGTCGAAGTCCGCGGCCGCCGCGAGGTCGGAGAACACCGCGTCGCCGGCGGACGCCCCGAACGCGTCCGCGAAGAAGTGCTCCCCGGCGGGCCACGCCGCGCCGCCACCGTACGCGAGCTGGCCCGGGATCTGGCCGTGCGACGAGGGCGGCGCCTGCGGCATCGCCGGCATCTGCTGGTGGTGGTGGTGGTGCTTCTGCTGGTGGTGGTGCGGCGCCATCGACTGCGGCGGCGGCGGCGGCGGCAGATGGTGGTGGTGGTGGTGCCTCTGCTGCTGCTGTTGCTGCTGCTGCTGCTGCTGGATCACCTGCTGCGCGATGGCCATGAGGTTGCCGCTGTCCGCGCACATGTACGCCATCCCGGCGCGCCCCCGCCCGATCTGCGAGAAACTCGTCGAACGGTGGTGGACGACGAATCGGGGGTGGTGGAGAGGAAGGGGGGGAAGAAGACGGCGGAGGAGAGCGGCAGGGGGATTTAAAACAGTAGGGCGTGGGGCGAAGCCACTGCGCTGGGAGGCACTGTACTGCGCGAAAATTACGGGATTGCCCCTCGGGACGGGCTAGTGTCCCGCCGTACCGTCCGCGGAGGTCGCCGACCTCAACGGTAAAATGGGGAGGGAGTGATGAACGGCAGGGGAGTGTGGCCGTGTGGGCGCTTAAACTGGGTGTGATCAGGTGTGGGGATCTTTTGTGGATATTGGATAGTTTACTTTCTTTTCTTTCTGAGTAAATTATACTAGCGGTTCTTAAACTTGTAACGAATTTTCAATTATGTCCACGAACTTACAAAGCACGTATTGAGATCTTTAAACTTGGTTTAATGTATCATCCTGGTCTAAAGACTGGTTTGACCGTAATCTTGCCTATGTGTTATGCCACGTGGACGATGACTTGGCTAATTTTTCTTTTTCCCTTTTTTTCTTCCCATCTTTTCTCTCCTTCCTCACCTCGCGTGGAGAAAAATGCGGCATAAGGGAGAGGAAAGAGGCAAAGTGGAGAAAAAAAAAGGGATAAGAAAGGAGAAAAAAAGGGATAAGAAAGGAGAAAAAAAGTAAAAATTCCATGTTATCCTCCACGTAGGTAAGACACGGTCAAACGAGGCTTTGGATCCGGATGATACATTAAATCAAGTTTAGGGATCTCGATATGCGTTTTGCAAGTTTATAGACCTAAGTAAAACTTCGTTACAAGTTTAAGAACTACCAGTGTAATTTACTCTTCTTTTTTTTGTTTTTGAAGTTGGATCCTTGGGTTTCATATTTTGATACAAGCTTTATAAGATTTTGCGGCTAACTTTTTTTTAACATAGATCAGTGCAATATTTGTATATTTATTAAGTTGCCGCAAGCTGTTCGAATTGGTTTCATTATTGATGTGGGTAGAAAACAATATTCAAGACTAGAAAACAGTATTCATGTTACGGACATACCGTACAACCATTGCTACATATGAATGTTCATCTTTTCTTGTTGAACACAAACTTCATGTACCTAAATTTCATTTTGTATTTATTTTCCGTGTTAAGATAAATCTGTAAAACAACGCCACAAGTTTTTCAGTATCCTTGTGTATGTCTAACGATAATTTTGGAAAGCTCTACACCATAGCTTTCCGAGCACTTTATCATATGCGCTTACCTTTGACATATATTTGCACGTTTCAAGAAATTAAGAGCTTCATTGGTTGCCTCAATAAGTCAAAGCAAATCCAAAATTTAAATTTTAAAACTTTAAAATTAAAGTTGATTTTAAGACAATTTCAATGTAGTTACTTTTTCAGCATTGTCATTTTAAATTGTTGAGAAAACACACATATATTTGTTAACTACAGATTAATTTTTATGAGTAACCGATGATGACCTAAACTTTCTTTGTACTAGGGTAGGATAGCTACTCGAGGTATATCCATAATAGACATCTTTTGCTGTATACTGCCTAGATTTTGTTTGTAATTTATTAGTATAATGCTAGTAATATTTTGAAGCTGCCAGACCTTTCAAAATTCGAGACAAAGCCATATCAGTATTACTACTTTTCTGTACATTTATTTATTAGTTCAAATGTAAGACAATCCCATTTCTACATTTAGAATTTCAACATAGAACAATATAATTTCTATAATTTCGAATACCGGAGCTATCCTTGTCAACCAAAAACACTTTACTACCTCGAAAAAAAACACACCTTACTTCATATAAGTCTTCTGTGCAATACTATCCTCTAATGTGGATCACTGCCATATAAACTCACTGGATATAGAGCCCACGTATCAAACAGTCAATATAAAAAAAAAAGATCTGTGTCCTATTTGCTCTTTCAGAGTTTCTCCCCCGACGCCAAGCAACTCGATCATGAGTCTGGTTGGCCCCGACGGCCGCTGCTATCCCTACTACACAGCTCCGTCACCCTCCAGCTCAGGATGGGAATGGGTAGGGTCGATCCATTTATTCACTAAATCTATTCATAAATTTGTCCTAACGGATTTTAGGGTCGCTCTAAAAAAATATAAATGGACCAAACGGCTCAAACCATTAGGGCAACCACAATGTGTGCTAAAAGTAACCTTAAGCAATAAATAACATTAAGCATTGTGAAAGTGGACCATAAGAATCTGACATAAAAAATGAGCATTAGCCTTATGGTGTGGTAACAAAACTATAGAATACAATACTTTTGTGATGTGCTGTTCACGCTAGTACTTTTGGGGAATTTTCATTGTGCAAAGAGTTTCACAGGAGGATAAGAAGTGATTTTTTTATCCTTCGGTGGGACCCATTGGGACCCAGCTTATTTTCTCCCATAGGCACAGCCATTGTGGATATGGACATAGCTAATGCTTACTTATAGCGGGTCCCACATATATGGCTGATGGAACCATAAGCATTGGCCTTGCCCTTAGAACCTAAGGTTTAAGAGGTTTGACCCAAAATGACTTCACATGTATAAATATTTTAAAAATTTGTACAAAGTTGCTTCTCTATATAATAAATCATTCATATAAAATTCAACTAAATTTGACAAATTTTTATAGTGTAAACGCGAGTTTAAAAATTTTGGGTCCGAGTTTTACACACGTGTAGCTAGAATTTCTTTGAATCTTAGTAATGCATAGTGGGCTCCGCATGTCTAAATAACTTAAAATTTGAACAAAGTTGCTTCTCCATATAATAAATCATCTCTATAAATTTAACTAAATTTGATAAGGTTTTACTATGTAAACACGAGTTTAAAAATTTTAGGTCCGACTTTTACATATATGCAATAAGAGCTTTTTTTTATCTATTAGGAGGATAGATGATCCATTTGGATATACATAGATAACCTATTGATATAATAGACCCATGATAGATTGAAACTTTTAAACCATGGTACAATAAACACATTTCAAATGGTTTAAGTTCGATCCATATTAACCATTCCCATCCTGACCTCCAGCTGCCATCCACTGTACTGCCACCGCTGATGCTTACAGAAGATCTTCCCTTCCCCCGCCCCCAACTGCACAGGCTGGACCACACATATTGCCACGCCAGCCCGACCGCTGATCCGTCCGGTTCCGGATATCCCCACGACGCCCCTCGGCCCCACCCGCCCCGTGACGTCGCGCTGCACCGCGGGCCCCACCTGCCATTGTGACGACCCCGATCCAGTTTAATCCGGTCCGTCGATCCGGAGCCCCTCGATCGCAGCGCTGCCCCGTGACGTGACCCCACCCTCGCGGGTCGGTGGGGCCCACCGTCCTGCGGGCGCTCAGAGTCAGTGAAGTGTCACAGGTGTCACAGGCCACAGCCGCGACACCACCGGGGGCTCCGGCACCGGGTGGGTGACCGGGTCCGTCCGTACTGGGCTTTGACCGCCCGTCGTACACGTCGGATCTGATCTGCCTGTCTGGTGGGGCCCGGGGAATTAAGCATGGGAGTTTAATGCGCCCGTGCCTGTCGACCAAACGGGCGCACAGCACAACACAACAACATCCACGACCGCACGAACGATGCGCTCTCGTTTGCAGGGTCGTCCCCTGTTTCCCGTTGCCACGCTCGACCAGCCCCCGGCTCCCTCCATCCCAACGAACGACTATTGGTAGCCACTGCCCTTTGCGAGTACTACTACCGCAATAGTGCCGTGACGTGCACGGACAAAGAGCACTAATGCGTGCCCATCTAGTTAGTTGAGTGGATACTCTTATAGCAAAGATAATAATATAGCTCACTTCTTACTATTAGCTAATCTTAAAGTCAACATATATAATAGATTAGCTATAAGGTTAGCTATAATTTTCTTCTCCTCTCTCATAAGTTAGCTCTTTCATGAGAGCTAACACTCTTGATTTTTCACTACTTCTCTCCTCCATCTAAGTTTATAGTAGACTTATAACTCACCATTATACTTGCTCTTATTCGTACTACTCCCTTTGTCCCCACAATATAAGGGATTTTGAGTTTTTGTTTGTAACGTTTGATCACTCGTCTTATTCAAATTATTTTTGCAAATATAAAAACGAAAAGTTATGCTTAAAGTATTGTAGATAATAAAGTAAGTCACAAATAAACTAAATAATAATTTCAAAACAAATTAAATAAGACGAGTGATCAAACGTTACAAACTAAAAAAACTCAAAACCACTAGCGACGGAGGGAGTACATGTTTGTGAGACAATGACCGTCGATGGCAGCCGGAGTTGACGAGTAGCACTAGCCACTAGCGACGCAGAATTGCGCGACGGGCCGGTGTCTGTGGTGCTGCTCCATGGAAGTGCATGGCCGTCGCCCGTCGAGCCGGCGAGTCTCCGCCAGCTACAGTGATGACTAGCTAGCTGCACGGACAACACGGTGACGCCGCGACGTTGGCACTGGCAGCGGCAGGGGCCCGCGGCGCCGGCCAGCCCTCAAAATGCGCGCGCGCCATGCGGTTGCGTCCGTACGGAGTACGTGGGAACGGCGCTCGAAGACCCGACCGAGGCTTCCCTTCCCGGGGCGGCTGGCGGCGACGTCAGCCGATCTCGGTGCTTTGTTTTTAATTTCTTGCTTTTACTACGCCGCGTTCCGAGATTTGCCGGCGCCTTTTTTCCTCCGATGATCTACTCGTAGCTTTTCGCCCATTGCAGCCGGCCCGCGAATCTACACACGCCCCGCGAGTGCGAACCCTGCGGCGAACGACGTACGTGGAGACGATGGATGGTGCACGTAATCGCGGATAGGCAAACATTACTGCCCTTTTTTATGATACTCTGATAGCTGTAGAATACTTCATCCGTTTATAATGTAAGTCATTTTATTATTATCCACATTTATATAAATTTATATAGACATGTCTAAATTAATTAGCATCTATATAAATATAGGCAATGCTAAAATGATTTACATTATAAAACGGAGGGAGTGTTTTTCAAAACCATTACTCTCCTAAATAGTCTAATGCTTGTGTTTCTTAAAATTCTCACCACGTTGATTTTCTAGCTTTTAAGGTGTGTTTGAAAGCTGTTGTTGGGAACTAAAATAAAGCAACTCATAATTAGCATATACTCCCCTGTTTAAAAAACCAATCATGATAATATATTCCCTATGTCTAAAAAAAAGCCAACCTAACTCATCCTTCCCGACAGCTCTCTTCAGAATCAAAAACCCT